CACCCCTTACTAATGCATTTCTGGAAAGCTTGCACCGATACATATTTCCATAAATATGCACACACATGTGACTACTGGTGTAGAGGAAGCAGAGGAGGTGCCCTGTTTCTTACGAGATGATGCAAATGGCCAACCACAGTTGACGGTCGGTAGCCGAGACTGACACAGAAGATGCATATAATATGAGGCTAAGCACAACTGCAGTCACGTATTATCAATATTTTCGGACGAGTCTTTATTCGGCCCGTGGCTAACAGAAGAGGTGGGGGGGGCTATATTTTCATTTCGGCTCACCTGTCATCGTAATCGGACTGCACCCCGTTGTTCTAGATAAAAAAGCTAAAGGACACTTGCGATGTACTTTCACTGTAGGTCTGGCGTTAAGGTATATTTAGCTAATAACGATAAGTGAGCTATGTGTTAAGTTCCCTCTTTTTCTATCGATGTACATAATAGTTTCCGTTGTTATTCACTCATGATTAGAAACGAGGGGTTTAGACTTGGGTTTCATGAAGAATCACTTCTGTGCTTCATCGTACAATGAGGACAGATCGATGAAGGGCGGCCACAGCGTTTATTAGCATCAGAACACCGGAGACTAGCAGCTGGCAGCTTTCAGGTTAATACCTAAAAATAAATAGCTATAATTAATTTCTGATTAAGAGTGAAGCTGGAAGGAGAGACGCTTTTAATTAGCCAATCGCCATATTGCTTTTGCTTAAATGGACTTACGTTTTTTCGGATCGAAATGGTCTTCACTCTATATTTGTGGGCATTGCACTTTTAAATAACCGCAATCTGTTGAGTTTGATGTTTTCACTTCTTGTGGAGCATTTTACTCAAAAAATAACTCGTTTACTATCAACTCCTTCTCGTACGTACACAAATTACTACAAGTATTACAGTCACTCCAACTTGTTACGATCTGCACATATTCTTACCCAGAAAAGTAAAGTTTAATTCAGTCAGAAAGCACTAATTTAGTTAGCTAACAGAGCTTTCATAAAATATCAGCAACAAAGTTCATGCCAAAATTCAAAGATGTTTTTACAAAAGCTAGCCAAACCCTGATAGTTCCTGATGTAAGCTGGTTGGCGGAGGAGGGGCTTAAACACGTTTATGTCAGAAGTTTAGATGAATGATACATGTTGAAAGGCCGTTTTAAGTTTACTGATTGTCTTTGCCTTTGGGGTCTCACAAAATTCAGACGTACTGGTAGGTACATGCTCATAAAATTTAGCTTTATAACAGTTCAGCTAGCCACTGGTTGCAGCCTGTGCAACAAGCCTGTGGAAGAATCAAATGACCACAGATGAGATTTGTATGCCATAAGCATAGCCTTAAGATAAAGGTTTAAAAATGCCGTTGTTGCTTTTTAAAATTTATAAATTAGATCGCCTCCTGATCCTCTTTAAGACCCTCTTTCGGTAATTTATTTTTGTTCGACGAACTCTACAAAAACTATCGGATAATCACCTCTTATTGGAAATCAATAACCTAACTTGCGCATGTTAGAGAAAAACCACCCTGATTTACCTTCAGACTCGGGGCGTAGAGATAATTGAATTAGAAAGCGAACGCTATTGCCCTAGTTAACTAAGACAACCAAGATGTGCCTCCTAAGCTGATAAGGTCGGTTTGCAAGCAACCAATCCTAAGGGTTTCAAGGTTAGTCACGTATAAATCCGTCATCGACAGGCACCCAGGGAATATGTTTATTTTTCACTTCAGACATATTTATTTGACAAACGAAGTCAGATGATTTTGACAATGGAAAGAGTCGATTAAATCACTGTTCAGAGAAGTGCAATTCCACGCCACCAGTCGTTAAATGCATGTTGACCTAGGTATGTATGAGATGTGAAATAATGAAATAAAACGCAATTACCATTAATTTAAATCCTGCAACATTGATAAAGTCCATTACGATCATTTGGAGCGCAGCTGTCAAACATTCTTCAATTTACACTTGACGACGTAGTTACAATAAAACTTTAACTTTCATGCGTAAAATTGCAGGGTTCAAGAAACAGATTAACGAGTATAGCAAGGACTATTGTGCAATAGGCAGAGCAGCAAAGTGACATGGCTTCTATCGAACTTGGCCTAACGATTCCTCCTATGAAACTCAACACTTGAAAATTTTTAAAATATAAGAACTTATAAAGCATTTGATAAAACAGAAATTTATGGAAATAGTTAACAAAAGCAGCCTTATTTATTATTCACGTCTTCACTGAGTCGAAATGTTTATGGTTGCGCAGATTCTTTAACTATCGTTCCAGTGATCACGTATGGGTTTGAGAGGACGTTAAAAGCCGAAAAAAGATTTTTTTAAAATCAATATACAAAGACTAAAGGATACCCATCCCCAATAAATATGTTTACTTATAGGAAAAAATATTTTTTTGGTGTTTGCGATGCCACGGCATGGGAGTGATATGAAATATATCCAGATTGAATTTAGAGAAATACGTTAGAATTTTTAAAACATCGTTTATGTTTCCAACATGACAAAAAAGGTCAGATTTTCAGTATGTTTTCAAATACAAATTCGTTGATCTGTGTGTATTTAAATACCATG